GAACCAGGCAGGCAAGATCTTTGTCCTCATGGAGCTCACACCCTTGTGGGAACGACAAACAATGACACATAAACAAATAACAGATACACAAACAGAAGTGAGTGGGACTTCTCTTGCTGCCCAGAGCTGAGGACCTAGAGGTCTCGCACTTTAAAGACAGCCCAAAATAACTTAGGATCAGGCATTTCCTTGGGTTCTCAACTCTGGGTGAGCATTAGAATCACCTGGGAGACTCAACGAACACTGATGCCCAGCACCCATCCCAAAATAATGGAGTCAGAATCTCTGAAGTGGAGGAACTGGTATATTGTAAGAACAGAATACAGACTGGAATAGCTGCAGCCTCATCAGGGATGAGGGAGGCAGAAAAGGAGGGGGAGGTGGGAGGAACTAAGGCAGGGAGGGTCTTTAGCCACTAAAGTAGGTATGATTCCTTTTCCATGTTGTTCTTGTTAGCTGCCATTGAGTTGGCCCTGATTCATAGTGACCCCATGCAAGACAGAATGAAACACTTCCCAGTCCTGTGTCATCCCCATGATCAGTTGTGAATCAAACCCTGTGGTCCATTGGGCTTATACGTGTTGATTTTCGGTAGTAGATCACCAGGCCTTTCTTCCTAGACTGGAAGCTCCACTGAAACCTGTTCAGCATCATAGCGACAACCAAGCTTCCAATGACGGACAGGTGGTGGCTGCACATGAGGTACAGTGGCTGGGAATTGAACTTTTCCATAGGTTTTCATAATTTTAAAGTAATATGTGCTTATCTAGAAGCTTCCAACAGCACACTTCCTCTCCTGCAATCCAAAGTTCTAAAGGTAACCACCTTAATGCATTCTTCCAGACCACTTAGACATCTCTGTGTTTCCATACATATATTTTTATATGGATACAAACTTACAGTTCTGCAATATTATTTTTTCCACTTGATAATACATCATGAACCTCCTTCCATGTTGTTGGTTAAATAAATGATGCTAAATCCAGAGCACACAGTCATTAAAAATCATGATACCGAGGAGGCGGAGTCAGCACGGCACTATAGACAGAGGCATCATGTTGTCCCTCCACAGCAAAGACCCAAAATACTAAGTCAAACAGAGACAAACATAAATCCTGGAACCCTAAGCATCAAATAAAGAGATAAAGAACTCAACCAAGTACCAAAGGGAATAAGAAACTGACAGAGAACAGAGAGTGAAGAGAGATATGGAGTGGAGGTCCCCTATCAGCTAACACAACACGGATTCACCATCTTGGACTCCTGTCAGAGATCTGTGGGCAGGGAGCACGAACAAGCAGCTTCACGGAGCTCCCAGCAGGAGACAGAGCACCCACAGGACCTGCCCTCCTCACCATGGCTGAGCAACTGGCCTTGCCCATTGGACAAGGTGGTGAGAAGTTTCGTGCCCACAGATGAACGAACAACAAAGAATGCACACCCTGCCTGCTCAGACATAACCAAATTAAACAAAAAAGCAGGACAAAACAAACAAATCTACAATCAGTAAACAAAGAAAGTAACTACTGAGTGTCCCAAAGACAGCAGACAATATCAAAACGTATAAAAAAACAGTAGAGGATGCTTCCAGGAGGTGCCCAAAATAAAACACCAGATGACCTTCCAATAGAAGAAAAGGCATTAGAACCAACTGATAGGGAATTCAAATCTCTAATACTCAGAGCTATCCAAGAGTTGAAGCAAAAAGCAGATAAAAATGAGGAAAAAATAGACAAATTAATGGAAAAGGACGACAAAATCATGGAAAAGGCAGACAAAACAATGGAAGAATTCAGAAAAACAATACAGGAACAAAATGTCAAAATAAATTCACAACTTGAAATCATACAAAAACAGCAATGAGATAAAGATAAACAAGATTTCAGAAACGGGCAGTGTCGTAGAAGGGCTGAGGAGTCGATTTGAAACAATGGAAGCCAGGATCAGTGAAACTGAAGACTAATACTTGGATACCACTTTGTTTGAGGAAAAATCAGAAAAAAGAATGAAGACACCCTGAGAATGATGTGGGATACAATCAAAAGCAAAACTTTGCCAGCGATTGGAGTTCCAGAACAGGGGGAGAAAACACAGAGAGGATTACTGAAGAACTGCTGAAGAAAACTTCCCTAATATCATGAAAGATAAAAAGCTGACCATCCAAGAAGCTCAACAAACCCCATACAGGATAGACACCAAAAGAAAATCACGAAGGCATATCATAATCACACTCACTAAAACCAAAGACAAAGAATCCTGCGAGACGCTTGAGAAAAATGAAAAGTCACATACAGAGGGGAAACAATAAGACTAAGCTCTGATTACTCAGCAGAAACCATGCAAGCAAGAAGGCAATAGGATGACATATATCAAACTTCGAAAGAAAAAAAATTTCCAACCAAAAGTAACATATCCTGCGAAACACTCATTCCAATATGATGGTCAAATTAGGACGTTTCCAGATATACAGAAATTAAGCGAATATGTGAAAACCAAACCAAACTGACAAGAATTATTAAAGGGAGTCCTTTGATTTGAGAACAAACAACATCAGACGACAGCCTGAATCTAGGATGCAAAATGCACCAACCAGATACAAATCTAGGAAATGGACTCTCAAGGATTAATCAGAACTAAAAGATTTAAACAGGGAACCAGAGAGGTGAATCTGTAAATGACAACAACATTAGAACAATAAAAGAGAGAATAAACAGTGTAGGTACAGAACTTTCTAACGGAGAGGAAGGCAAGGTGAAATCAAGTAATAAAAGACTGGTTCAAACTTAGGAAGATATGGGTAAATTTCAAGGTAACCACAAAGAAAGTTAACAAACCTACTCATCAAAATAAAGAAGAAAAACATTAAGTCTCAGTTAA